GCCACTGAGGGGGTTCCCTATTGTCAAACTTTGACAGTCTAGTAGTGAGTAGTTACCAGTCTGATGTCTTAGTTTGAACAGCTGGAGCACGTTTAAATATGGCCTGTTCAAGTTGATCATTTCGCTACAGATCAGAGTATCGTACTGATTTATGCAGTCAACCGAGTTTTACGCAGAGTAGCCGTTAGGGCTACTGCCAGCTTTTGTGTGACGCACTAGACATGGTCGACGAATGAGTTGGATTATTTTGAAAATACACAGTTGTCTATTGCGTAGGCCGAACAGTTGTATCACACTTAAATTTGCATAGATACGTCTATTGCTAATAAGTGCTGGGAACAACTGAAGTCATGTTGGTAGAAGTTGAGAATAAAAGTACTCCATGTCTTTACGTGTATCATCAGGACGATCCTCAACCGCTCACTGAGGAGGTCTTCTCAATTGATGACAAAACTTCAGTTATGATGCCCGGTGACAAATCGACGGACACCCAATTAGCACTGTTCACTTAAAACCTAACTAGCTGATATCATCTTGCTGACAAAGGAACAGAGAGGCACCAATGAATTTCAGAGTAATTTGTATCGATCTAAATGAACATTATTCATTAATCGGACAACTGCGTCGTTCCTCGGACAAGTATATCAAACCCTCATGGACTTTTGGACAGCTCAAATAGAATATTCCAGGGTGGCAGTCACCACGGCTAATTTCCTCCCGCTCACTGTAAAGTCGGTCAGCATACGCAAACAAGAGTTGAACTTTGCTTTCCCTTTTGTTGTGACACTGGGTTTTGCTGAATATAGGTGTTGAGTGATGTGTCAACTTTGTTATCCAAGCAACCTGTATTAAAAGAAATAAGATCTGAGGAACCATCTGGTAACAAAAAGACAGATACCGAGACCAGAGAAAAAGCCTCACAATAACGTCGTTATAGTCGATGTGTTTTCCCCAACAAGGATCCCATCTCGAGAAAAATTCGCCCCAAAAAACTTGCTTGAATAAACAGAATTGCTTTCACACATAAAGGTATGCAATCTTGTACCAAAGTAGGTCAGTGAATGCAAAGAACACTCCGTAACCGTGGACTCAATTCACCCTTTGGACGATGATTGTAAACGACAAGCAGTGTTTCTTTTCGAGGTGACTCAAAGTACCCCCGTTATAGGTATGCTTCTGTAGAAGTATTACGGCAAATCAATGTCTCACAGAAGTAATTTATGAGGTTGGCCAAAGTTACTCACTGAACTAAGATATGTTTTCTGTTTTTAAAATTCTCCAAGACTATGAAAATGCGGCAGGTTTTCGTCCACTGTTTAAGCTTCGGACACTAGAAGTAGCTCTGCAGGGGTTTTTGGAAAGATGTGCGAACACTAATTTCCGGAGAGAAACGAAGAATTTTAAGTGGCCATAGGATATCATCGACTAGTTTACTGCACATCAGGTGCAGTTGATAGTTAGCACGATTTCAGTGGCGAGTGAATGGTCCCTTCGTCCTTATTGAAGCCACCGACAAAGGCGAATGTACCAGTTCGGCGTTCAGTTACTCATTTTACTGCCAAGTGATAGCCAATCAACATTTGTTCAGCCGCTGGTGACCGAAACTCTGTCCTTCTTAGGACGTGCTCAGCCGATATATTCCGATGCTTCTTGGTTTATCATAATACGTTAGCTTCACTGACAGGACTAGATCTCGATTGATAATGCACTTTCATCGGTTATGGAAGCGGTATACAAAGGAACAGGACACAGAACAAGCAGGGAGACAGCAGGAGAACTTACGGACAGCTTTGGACACACCGAAATAGTGAAACGTTGAGGATTACAAAAAGTTGAAAAACGGTTACCTGACATAAAAATAGTTTTGGAGGAAGACGAAGATCACAGTTCATTTCAGCAACGGGGAGCGGAAAGTTGGTAAGTGTAGAATATAGACTTTCTGATCGGTTGAACGACTATGATAAGTAACTGAAGAAAAGCCAACAATGAAGTATTTTCTGTGGTTGCCGAGTGGCGCGAAGGTTAAGCACTAGCCGTGTGCCAACAGCGACAATGATAGTCTGAAAGGAGTCCGGGAGACAAATCGAAGCACAAATTCTTCTTTGAAAACCATGCAGAACTAAAACATTTGTGAAAGGAACCCCACTTTGATACAACGACGGTATTTTGTGGTACAATAAATCTGGAACTTCCATGAAAACAGAAAGTTGGAAAAGCGGATAAACTAGTACGACATTCTACGCAGTCTTGGGTTTCAACTAATTTTTGTACAGAACCAACTAGATCTGTTGAAATATAACAAACGAACACGGAGGGAGCATTCGGACGACCAGAAAATTGGTTGGAGGTGAATCATATATCCGATAATAAAAAGATTTTTCCATGAAAGCATGAATTCACTCGGAGAGAGAAGAACAAAACGGTGTGGCGAACGGGAGATTTGATGAAGGGCAGATTGGAATGTTTAGTTAGAAAGTTTGCAGTTCAGTTCATCGGAACAGTCCGTAGTTTGCATAATGACACCTTTGTATCCGGGTCAACATGTCACGCCTGATCAAAATCCCTTGTACTTCGGTCCACACATTTAATGTCACCGAAACAGTCTACACAATATCATATGTAATCGGTGGAGCGACAGCACCCATGATATAAGAATGGGTACCTGAGAGGTTGTTGTTCACCACATCACAAAGTTTTTTTTGGCCATTAATGACTCTCGGGTAGCGAATTGGATCAGGAATCGCAATTTGGTTTGTAGATGCTACCATGTCGGAAAAAGAAGATGAAATAGGATGATGCAGCAGAGTTGACCGACTCGGCTCATGGAGCACAGGCGTGGATAGACGGTATGGAGGGACATTCCCTGGCGAGCCAGGACGGAAGTTGGAGGTTAGGGTTAGGAATAGGTGAAGATTAGGAATAGGACAGTGCACAGGAACGCAAGAGACTACTTTTCAAAGGTTATACTAAGATCTGACCCTGGAAGGTATCTAATTTCCTACTGGTAAAAATGTCTTTGGCATAATTACTGATGTCACAACAAAAATCGCGCTTGTTTATACCATTAGAAGCGGATAAAAGTGAGGCTTGGTGATCCAGCGACTGCGTAGTTGATTCCTTCTTTTAGTAGGGAGAAAACCAGAGCGAACAAATCACTACGGATATGAGGATTTGACTAATGGAAGAGGCTTAAACTGGGTTCTTTCACCAGTGAAATACTCCACGAGGTTTTAATTGAAAATCGCACAGGGTTTGAGTTACAGCAAATCAGCTGTAAGGACCGAAAAACTGCTAAATGCCGTCCAAATTCGTCGATGTGTTTTACCGAAAAGCATAGTAATACGGTGATAGACTTGTCAATATAAAATGAAGAATAGTTAATCTATGTGGTGCTTGTTCCACTCCACTCAAGATCTTCGGATTCAAGTAGAACTGAAAACAATTCATTTCAGTAAGATACTTGCGAGCATTTGCGGAATTTGTGGTCACTCGTCACATCGTTCCCGTTCATTCACTTGCCCATCTGACCCCTTCTGACCAGTGCATACATTGTGGTGCTCTGAAATATATTCAGTCTCCTCGCTCTTATCAAAGTCCATTGGTAGTGCACTCCCTAGGCTGTGCCAGAATTCTGAATCCGAATATCCGGCGTCCTGGACAAGTGTGCTACCAGTGAATGCACTCGAATCATCGCTTCCGAGCAAATGAACTCATTCATGTGCAACGATGTCACATTCTGGAAAAACTACCAAATGACTATCGCTAATTTCCGCAGTCATTTGTCTCACCTATCAAGAATTCTTGAATAGGCAGCACCAAAGAAGTTTATCTACTGTCGAAATTTTTTTCAAATTACGTTGCCATAAATTGGTTCCTAGACTACTCTCGATTAATAAGTCCCGTCGTTTAGTCCATCTAGTCATGAGTTCAACCTGGGCACAGACTTTTGAAGTTTCCTAAAGTAGGCGGAAAAACAGTCCAACGCTCCCCTCTTCGAAACAGTTGTCAGAACAAAGGGAAGACTGCCGGTAAGCCAAAGTACTGCAGATTTTCAACAGTTTGTCTATGGCAAAGGTAAGTATGTCACCAACAATTAATGGGCCTTGCTATCATTATAACCCATTCAAAAATAAGCTTATGGATTCACGCTGACCAATAAACACAATAAACCTTTACCGTTTTACTGCGAAACTAAGAGACTGACATCTAAATTAGCTGGAACATAGATAAATTACACAGTAAAGTCTGTGTACGTTGTCTTTGCTTGGCGATCATTTAGGTCTTCGCCGCAGTTACCTTATCACGCAGTGGCTCCACTGCATGTTGTCGAGACCTGCGAGAAACTGGAAAACAGGAGCTCTCACGGTGAAAGATCAGAAGATAGTATCCAGGTCATCAGCTCCCCAAAAAACATTGGTTTGGCGTCAAATTGGGGGCGCCGCATGCCATCGAAATTGGCCATCTGTCATCCACAGTCCTTGTGTACACGGGAATCTGCACGCATGTGTATGCATGCATTCGTCCACACACATTTTATCAACAACTAACACTTGCCACTCCCTTTTGCCTTTCGGTGACGGATACTTAAGACGCCCCAAATGCAACTCCTGTTGATTGGTCCAATCGGTGCGCCTAATGTGTTTTCTTCCCCCAATACGATGAGCGATGGACACTTGGGTTTAGTTATATCACACCCCTAACAACCACCTACCCAGAAAAATAAAGCACACACACCAACACACATCATTCTACCGTTTGACCACCTGTTGTGGAAAATCCGCCTCCTTAATTGGTCCCAAATAACGCGTATGTTTCTTTTCCCGATAGGCTGTATGCTGCAACGCATCAATCAGCAGCTCCCACGCGGCACTGCTTAGTTATGCAACATGGTTCTAATTGCCGATGGCATGCCGGATGATTCGTGTGTAATATCCGCTTATCCAGCATTGAAAGGTGTCGAAACGCCCTAATTGCAATTTTCAGACGACCTGATAATCGACATGGGACATCTGGGCGAACAGGCACACCGGAGACGAAACCAGGTTCTGATGCGACAAGATTGTACTGCTCTTATTGGCGTTGCAATGGCACTAGTATTGCATACCATGGCGCTTTTGGCAGATGCCGAAAACTTTGTGCCCATCAAAAATCGAAGTATTTTGTTCAAGGAGCACAAAATCAGAGAGGCGCAACAGCCAACAGGCAAACAGCAAGCTAATGGCGGATTTTGGTTCAACAAAGGTCACCCCAATGCTCACTGTTTTCAAGCGCCTGAAGGACTTGATTGCAAAAGTGTTCTGCAGAATCAGGCCTCCGCAGAGAAGGCTCTGAATAACTGGAAACTTGATTATCGCCAGTTACTGTCGCGGATAACTTGCACTCTGCAAAAGCTAAGCTGTCCCCTTGAAGGGCGTTCACTTCAAGTAAGTCAATCAACTTGGGTTTGACTGTTATTCAATAGTGTTTAGTCAACATCACATGATATGCGCTTCATAGAAGAAGCTTCCAGTCAGAGTTGTATGCGTAATACAATTTAGATTGAACCCGACATCAGAGAATCTCCTGATCTTACCTCTTTTGATCGGTTGGCTGGACTTCTATTAGACTAACACAGGCAAACACTTCACCGCCAGGAATTTGCATGCCTGCTGATATGGAGGCAGGCTCGTACAGTTTCGCAAAGAGCTGTACAGAAACTGCGAACAGTCGGAATATAAGGCTTTGATACAGCAACTCATGTGCATCTAAGCGCGTTGTTTGATTCTGTGACTAAACTGCTCCAAACCTTGCAACTTTGGAAAAAAATTGGTCTGAGTATCAGTCACACTCAAAATAGCGCTCTCGTGTGAACCAGAATATTTCTTAGATAAAGGTTTGACGGTGACTGAGCGTTCTGGGCAACTTCGGTAAGTAGGTGGCGGAGTACTCCAGTCCATTGGGAGTTGAAGCCCAAGATATTTAATGGACTCACCTGTCCACGATTATGACGGAATGGGGAAATCTGATGACCGGTATGCTTTTGGTCTTTTTCAGTAACCCATGTCAGTAGGAATGAGTCGATTTTATCGTGATCTGGACGATAACCACAAAGTAAGATCACTGACGAGGAAGATGTGCTCTCAGGTAGGGGAATAAATTTTTGGAATACGTTAATTATCAGGGGTTCCTTTGTTAAATGAGTCTATGCTTTGCCCTCTGTCTGTTTTGTCCTCGTGACAAGTTCTCAAGACTAGTCTTATGTACTGATTTTAGTCCAATCCAATTAAGTCCAGTAACCTCAACTATTTGGGCAGGAAATTGCTTCAGTCGTATTTGAGATATTAGATGTGTGATGTTTCGATTGCAATGTCTTCCTTATTGGAGTTAAAATGTTTCCTCTTCAACTCCAATGGACTTATTTCTTGAGACTAGTGTCATTGAAACTGTCGCTCTACCCAATATACTTTGATCTGAAAATCACATCTTGGGATCATAGTACTAAAACCGGCCGGAGAGCAACACCAGAAGAAGAAAGAACTTTGGTTGGTCCTTACGTTCACCTCACTTTACAGGATTGTTCATCATATAGTGGGTAACAATAATTTGTTTCTCCGATTCTCTAATATAATGACATCACGTCGAAGGGTTTTTTGTAGAGACTAGTAGTGATATTGTTTGGTTGTGTCCACATATTGAAGTGCTTCTGTTCGAGTCTTTTTACCACTCTCAACTTCACCGGTTTCCCCCCAAATGATATGAGTCGCCCCTGTTTCCTACTTGGACTCATTAACGAGCAAAAATTACTAGGCCACCCTTACAGACCAACCCAGCGACTAAATTTGTCGAAATTCCAGGTTATTTTTTCTGTTGTTAGATCTTCAGTTTGAGAATATTTATATAATAGGATAGCGTACTTTTTAAAAGGCCGTTAATATTTGTCAGGGCCAAGCCATCACAGTGATNTATTCGAGTCATACGGTATCTATGGAGATAAAAGAGTACCCTCCCTGAACCATTTATATATATATATATATATATATATATAAGCTTGTGTACATTATCTGGATTGACCGCTGGCCCCAAGCTAAGTGATGTAAAGAAACATTGGCGGTTCTGCTGTGGTTTTGTGTGGAAATCTCATCGATGTTATAAAAAGGGGGCAATGAATTAATCATTTGCTACTAAGCACCTTAAGTATTGTTGTAACAGAAATACACGGCTCAGTACTTGTAACCGATTCACAAATATTTTTAAAGTAGGTATATAAATCTGTTTATGCCCGTCCTGAAACACTGCTTTTTACCAGCAAGGCGGTCCAATAGCACCATGTGACAGGATGACTGTCAGCCATGTTTTTGAAAACTTACTTGGTAACAGGTAGCTTCTCAAACAGCAAGCATTTTTAAGGCCTGGATAAATTAACTAGCCTAATGTGGAACGTATGTGTATTGTTCAGCTGCATCGTTCTAGAATGACCGTTTGGACGGTCTAAATAGAATTGGTCTACACTGAACTTTGCAGTCGCTGAGACGAAGGGCTTCTAGTTCAATCAGGGTTGGGGAAAATTGTCTGATCGTAAACCCTAAAGGGTTGAGAACTATTAAGTTGTCATGAGCGACAGGCCACCAGGCAGACAGATCATAATTATATCAGGCCAGTGAGCAGTGCCATATGACTGAACTATTTGCCATTCCCGCCTAAGGAGACAAGAAGGGAGCCTAGGTCAGATTATATAAAAGTGAGGTTGGTGTTTGTTCAATCTGATGGCCCAACCTGATCGTTTGAGCCCGAAACTTCAGGAAGGACCGCTCTGCAAACTAAACAATGCCGTGAATGTTAATCACGATGTTCCAAACGCTTTTAACACCATTTACCAGCTTCTGAACTCACTCTATCGAATAACTATGAGCAATCATAAGTCGGAAGAAATGTTCTTCATCCGTACTACTGGCTCTGCTTCACAATTTGGTCCAACATTAAAAATGTATCCCATTTTTTCATTCGTTAAGTATTTAAAGTTAAAGTAAGTTAAATTAAGTTAAAGTTAAAGTAAGTACTGCTTCCTGGCAGTGCGACTTCAGAAAAATCAAACGGCCTACAAATCTGCTGTTTTTATGCGTACGCAGCTTTCGAAGTTTAGTCTCTCATAGTGATACTTATTGACCTCATCTTTACTGCACCTGGAGGGTTACCTGCAAGTAAGACAGTCTAGCCTACTCTGGTTAAGCGTATCTTTAGTTAAACCGTATAGTGTTATCTGTCCACCCCAGTTTGAAAAGTGAATAGGTAATCTCAAGGCTGAAAACTTGGTGTTCATATGCTGATGGTAACGCAATAATTGTTAGTGAAAATAAGACCAGTCTGAAAATTTCAGGACGCTAAATACCTATCAGTTCCCGCGGTATCGTTGGACAGGCCATCCATTTTGTAGCTACTAGGTGGACAACTTGGTACATGAGCTATTGTACATGCCTAAAATTTCCATCATATATGTCGTCCAAACGTGTAGCGAGAACCTTGGATGTCTAAATTTAGATCCGTCCGTTCCCCATTAGAGATAAACTACATGACCCCTCATTTTCCAAGTAAGCCTCATCGGAACCTAGTAAGAAGACCTTCCGTCTCCGAGCCGGAAAACTGAGTGGAGTGAGTACTCGGGACAAAAATGGAAGGAGCGAGCACCCAAATGCTCGTGTAGTTAACTCATGATAAGACCTTGTTCATGAAATGCTTCAAGAATGTCCTGCCTAGTGGCCGTCTTTTGTTTCCTTCGGGCCGGCATAGGATATGCCTATTTATATTTCATTAGCACGATATTACTCATGTTGTTCACGAAAATTCTCTGACAGACCACTACCTAGTTTTTGGGTCTGGCGGCTCATCAGGTAGTCATAGCAAATTTTGCTGAACATAGGTGTAAACAGGAGGTTAAGTTGAGTCCCTATGTATGCCGTAGTGGCCATCCCAATTTGAAACTGACCAACTACCTCCATGTACAACTAATCTGGTGTGCAATTTTGAAATGACTGAAGAAAATTGGGGACTGCGCTTATCCAGTGCACTCTGAAAAGTAGCGAAGGGGTGATAGATGCTTCTTATGCGTGAAAAACTGTCTATGGCACTAACTTCAAGACCGATATAGAAATAAGCGGATTTGTTGGACTGCTTACCAGTTCACTTGTATCATGCTCTAGGCTGCGACCAAAACTGTGAAATTCGTCTATCTGTTACACAGAGAGTACCGGCCGTGTGGTTCTCAGTGATCAACCTAAGCTTTTTCAATACTGACTGAGCAGATTTAAAATTTTGTTTTCAACAAAGGATATTCGAGTTGCATGTTTTTCAGTGAATACTTACCAAAATTCAGTACCACTTTCACAATAAAGTGTTTTTTTTAATAGAACAACGTTGCTATATTTTACTCATACTTTACTCATCTCGGGGGAAGTTGCGCTTCGATCTGAGGCAATGAACTGGTTCATTGTAATAGAAGGTTTTATACTTTACCTCACTGTAGCGAGTAACTATCCAGGGGAGTGAAGAAAACTTATCGAAGTTTTGAAATCCATTTAGCCTAACGTATTTTGTTTTATGGACGCTTCACATTCAAGAAGTCGGCGAAGGAGCATACTATCAGCCAGACCGATGGTTCAAAGATATTTAATAATAATTTGAAAATGATTTTATTACCTTAATTCACTATTCAGATTTGAGAGCCCGCTACACAATCCACGATGACCGTAAAAAATTTCCCTGTTTGAAGATTCCACTGAGCAAATTTGATGACAGCAATTTTCGTCAAACACTGTTTCATAGGGATGAAGTTGACTCTAGCTCGGTTCAAACAAGTACAATAATAGGGATAAACATACTGTCCAAAGTTGTCGAATGAACTATACGTACAGCATATTACACGATTCTGTTATGTTGACCAACTGTCAGAGTTGAGACCACCAGATATAGTGGAAAAGTTGATGAATAATGCTATAAATTTAGGCCTCCCAAACCATCTTCCCAAAGGTAAGATGGTTTGAAACAACCGTCAGCTAATTATACAGTTCCTCAAATGAAAGTCACAACTCTACCGTGCTCTTCTGACGAGTTTATAGTATGTTTAATAAAGCTAGTTGTATGGATTACACACTTTTTCCCTTTAGGCGTAATAAACTAGCAAAATAGTCGTGAACTAAGTGACTGTTGTTTAGAGCCCTCTGTACTTTATTTGGGGGCGAGATGGCTCAGCGGTTAAAGCGCGGATTTACTGATCGGAAGGTCCGTGGCTTGAACCCGACCTCTGCCCCTCAACTTTTCCTGTCTAGGCTTGAACAGCCTGGTGGTATCACAGCCCTCGTGCTTCTTCCGGGTGATATTGCAGCTAGGCACCGAAAGAGTGGTACATCTGAACGATGCAATACACTGTTTTTGAATGGTGTTCGCTGAGCTT